CCTCCTCCTCCTCCCCTCCGCTCTCGCCATCGACAGGCACGCGTGGACAAGCAGCAGCAGCAGCAGCGGCAGCGCCCGAGCAAGAGGCAGAGGGTGGACCAACAGCCTCAGCAGTCGCGCCACGAGCCAAAGGCTCCCTCCGTCAGGCCGAATGGTGACCCGCAGCGGAGGCCGCGGTTCTTGCTCCCTCGTCTCGAACCAAAAGGCGTTGGCAGCTCGCCGATGCTGCTGCCGCCCTTGGGCGTATTCCCCGCCCGAAGCAGCCTTGTTGTAGGGGGTGGCGGCGTCAGCGGCGGCGGTGGCCGCGGTGTTGCTCGAGGTGCCTTCGGCAGTTGGCAGGGGCATGGTGGTGAGCTGCAACAGGCGGGGACCTTCTCTAGTGGCAACGGCAACAGCAATGCTACTACCGACACTAGCAACAGTGTCAGTAGCAACATCAGCGGCAGCGGCGGCGGCGGAGGCAGCAGCGTCAGCAGCGGCGGCGACGTTGGCGGTGGCAATGGTGTTGACGCCAGCGCGATGGGGCCTGAGGTTGGGTGCACCCCTCATGGCCGTGTTCACGGGCTGGGGTACTGCCCAGTGACCGATGCCACGCTTGAGAGGGCCGCCAAGCGAATGAGGAATTGAGCGGACCGCCGGCTATAAAATAATAGTTTACACGTCATACCCCGTTCTACGCGTGGTTGTGGAGCGTTTTATCCTGCCCCTGCGTTATTGTCTCGGTGCCAGTTGCCTCGGTGCACCCTACGTCAAATGTATTGAGGCCGATACTTGATAACGGCCGGAAAATGTGCTATTTAGGTTAAGCCGAGAGCGGGAAGGAAACCCTGGTGCCTGCATGCGTGTGTGTGTGGTTGCAAAACTCTTGGCAAAGTTGCCGGACCATTGCCCTTGCATCACCATACACTGTCGTGGCGAATTATTAGCGTACGACCTAGGTTTGTTGTGAACTTGTATCATGCTTAAGTTGGTGTGATGGCGGGCACGTTACGGAAGTCGGCGGTGAGAGGGGAGGATACGGGTGGTGCTGTTCGAATTGCTTTACGCCTCCGAGGAGAGAGGGTGGATCGGGGCGGGGCGGGGAAAGTTACTTCTTCACGAGAGGGACACAAACTAATGAGGAAGCGGCTATTTCAATCTTCGGCGAAAGAGAGAGGTCAATACGGCGACGTGGTACAATTTCCTTGCTACGCCCCGAAGAGAGGGGCAATGCGGTTGGATCTTGTGAAAGGTTTTGGGTCTTAAGGTTTGGGCGTAAATTGATTTCGGGAGAGCGGGACTATCAAGGGAATGAATGTGAATGACTGAGTGACTTTTTCATCTTTTGGGGATGAGGTGAATACACAGAAACGGATTAATTTACTTACACCCTCGAAGAGCGGGGTAAATGCGGGCGGGGCTTAGTAGCAGTTTTTTTGTCTCTAGGGTTGGGTGTAATTGGTTTTGGGAGCGCGGGAATATCAAGGGAGGGGAGACGGTTTCATGTTGGGGATAGAGGTGAATACGCAGACAGACGCGGTTTATTTTACTTACCCCTCGAAGAAAGGGGTAAATGCGGGTGGGCCTTGTAAATTACTCGGATCTTCAGGGAGAGGGGTTAGGCGGGAAAACGATTTCGGGAGACGGGGGAAATCAGGGAGGGGCGACTGTTTCAGCATTTGGGGGTAGAGGCGAACACACACATATTATTTTACTTACGCCCTTGGGAGGAGGGGTCAAAGTGAACAGGGTCAACAAAATGGAAGGTGCATTTTTTAATTTTAAGGGAGCGGAGCGAATGCACGCTTGGCGACAATGAGCGTTTAGAGTAGTTGTTGGGACGGTCGGGGATAATTCAGCCTTGACAGGAGAGAGAGAGAGAGAGAGCGAGAGAGAGAGATTGTACAGGCGATGTACGTTGTAAATGCCTCCATGAAGGGGCGGGTAGACGGACCGGGTGTCTTCACATTTTTTTATGCTTCGGGAAAGGCTGTGAATGAATGCAGACAAGACGGGTAGAGGGGTAGACTATTAGGGAGATGGGGGAAAACACGGGAACTGGAAAATAGTTTTATAAGCCAGAAGCTCAGTCTCAGAAGCCTGGCCCGGTAAAATACGAAACCGTTGGGGAGGGTGGTGCAAAACGGCGGAGAGGGTATATTCCTTGTCAAACCTTGGGGGTTGAGGGTGGGGTGAATACGGGCGATGCGCGTAGAGTTGCGTTGCCCGTGGGGAAGAGGGGTCAGGAGAGAGTTTCGGTGTTGTGCTGTTTGGTTGGGTGATGCAGCATTCGAACTCGCGTCGGACGCATGTCGTAGTGATCGACTGGTGACTGGGTGAGAGCATGTTGTCATCCACGAAGAGGTGAGGTGAGAATGTGTTGATACCATTGACTATTGTGTTCTCCAGCTCGATCGATTTATATTTTGTCACTCTGTCTCGTGTGTAGTTCTTCTCCCTTAGATCTCCGGAGTTAATAGATGCAGCAATATTGCAATACAAAAGCATCTCGTCCGTGAACGTCCATGGACTTTTCCGTCGGCGGTCCACGGATGTGTGTGGACGCGTCTAACGTCCGTGGACAACCGCCCATGGAAATGTTCGTTCACGGGCGTCCACGGACAATCAAAGATCAAGTGCGGATTCCAGGAGACAAGCATGCATACGATGGAACGTACAAGATGCACTGCGTTTACCTCCCTGGCCATGACAGCTACCCTTCCTTTCTTCGATGTGACATCAAAACAAAGGAAGTGCTGTTTGTCATCGAACCTACGGTCGGGGTACTTCATCTACATGCCACACAGGACCGCGACATGGTTGCGTGTCGAGAGACGACACCTGTCGGGCGCAGCATGCACGACGCAGACTCGTTCCTCCTCTCTACCTTGGCGTTCAACTCGCCAACTCCCTTGGCAAATTGAAGGTGACTATGCAACCAACCTTACCCTCTTCTCAAATTCGCCATCCCCAGCCCTGCTAAAAAATCGTCCGTGATTGCGCCACACAGTCCTCGCATTGAACAGCTGCTTCCTCGACACAAACGAAACTACCGAAATACGGTACGCTCAACGGGTCAAACATGTGACGACCCTCTGCTGAACGGGTTAAGAAATCTAGGCACCGCATTCTCCTTCTCCCTCTGACGTACAAACGGTACCATGAAAACTACCCGTGAAAAACAGGCATGAAAATTGAGTGAACTACGACGTAGCTAGATGATGAGAGTTACAACTGACAGGAGTGCGTGTACAAGGACCTGGAGGGTTGCCTCATTCCGACCTAAACCGATTGCCTCGCACACTCGAGTCTCGACTGGATTTTCAGCAACCAGGCAACGGCCACAAAACACCATTGCTGACTCAACCACACGACAACCGGTACAGAGGAAACCACAAAAAACCTCTTAGGAAAAACTACATGTATATAAACACGTCACCGTTGGTACACAAAACTGTGTACCCACGAAAACACTCAAGTGGCGCGTCAGCGCGAACGTTCTCTGCTCAATTGTAGGTGAGACGCGCCCAAATATTGAATATTGTGAACTAACTCGTTTCCCCAACTCTCGTTCACCGTACTACTACGGCTAGCCCGCCACGTGCTTCAGCCACACTTCTTCTACATGCCTAGTCCTCTCTTGAGTTTCTCCAGCTGGGACCCGCGCTACCGGCAGTTCTTCGTTCTTCATGTTTCTCACTTACGCTCTCGTGCAAAAGGTCTAGCGCCCGTGGTCACGCCAACAGGGCACAAAAAGCTGCAAACAAGATATAAAAACAGACACGTGCTGTGGGGTGACGACAGGTATGGGGCCCCTACCGTGCGACAGTCACGGTCCTCCCCCCAACGCACAACCAAACACACAAGTAGGGTACATGGCAAGTGAATAAAGTAGATCAAACCAGCTACCGGTATCAGGCCAGACCAGGAGAGAGAGACGGGCGCCGTATGGCATCCCCACAAACGCGAACCACGGCGGAGGGTTCTATGTCTCGGGTTTTCACCAACCATGCATCCCCCTCCCGCGCTACTTCGAAATATTCGGTGGAGTGCGGTGCAAGGGGAGGGCAGCCCAAGGGCTAAAAACAAAATCGTGTTCGACATATATAAAAAAAAACGATAGAAGTATACGAAATTTCCAAGAAGATGCCACATACGGGCCAGAATACCCGCACAGCGAGGGCCACAGCAGTAGGGCCAGACGCATAAAAACCACGGCGGAACGCGACAATCACCGTTGCCTGTGCATGCCACTAGGCTCGAAGGCGACAAGCAACACGCAAGCCATGGGACGTTCATCACACACGACGGAACAAGACCAAATAACAGGTACCAGGGACAGACAAGACCAAAAAACAGAGAGCTGGAAGGGGAGTAGAAAAACAATCATAAACAGGGGTTCAACAGCAATGCATCTGTCGTAAGTGGTATATTCTACATACAGTGGGTGGCCCGATATAGTGCCGGTTGAATAGTGCCGGTTGCCGGTAAAGTGCCGGTGTTTTCGGCTCGCACACACCGGAATATCAAGTCTTTCTGTACTCTGAATAGTGCCTGTGCCCGGTATAGTGCCGCTTTGCTCTCTGAACACATACCGGCACTATAGAGGGCCCCCTACTGTATCGGTGCACAACATTTTGCGGGCATCTACCCCGATGGCGCAGCTGTTGAACGCAAGATTTGCCGCCACTGTTCAACATTTTCTGTCCTAACCCACACCAGTCCTCCCTTTCCATCGTCGACGCGCTCCATTTTATCCTCGAAGTCTACATAGCCGTCACCGTCCTTGGCAGTTTTCCGCCTATGAGCTTTCTCCTTCTCCATGAACTTCTTCAGAGCTTCAAACGAGGCCCTCGTAAGACACCTCAGGCTTTTCTGGAGGCTTTCTGCCACCGTGTCCAACCCGCCTTTCACCTCCTCGAACCCAACCCTCATCTCGTCTGCCAGTTTGCCCATCTCTCCCTTCAAAGTAACCTTGGTGTCGTCGAAGCCCCCCGTCACAGTAGCGGTGAGATCGTCAATCTTTTTGTTCGTCTTTTCAAGCCCAAGCACCGCCTCCTTGCCCTCGGAGCTCGTCTGTGACAAGCACGACGAAGTACCAGAGGGAAGGGTAGAAAACATTAACAACAGCTTGTTTGAACAGTTAGCATTCGGCCCATCGACCCCAACGTACAGCAGCAACCTGTGGATCCAGTAATGCGAAGAGAACGCACAAGGTGTGAGCGCAGAATGGAAGGAAGTGTTGAGTGTTGCGGATACGCACTTTGAGCAAAGGTGCACTGTACTTGCCAAAGGCACACACTCCCCATCAATATTTGCGAAAGATACATGCGGGACATTCACAACGGTAATGTCTCTCCACCACGGACTATGAACCGCACCTTTGTGATGTTCTTAAGAATTCGTGGGGGTTTTGTGATGTAGCCGAAATGTTACTTTGCGAAACGGAAACGATGCCCGCATGCGGCTACAAGTCACAGAGCGAATATGGCAAATGCGACGGAGTGTCACAGAGCGGGTATCGCCCCTCTGTCGCTTGTATGCCGGTGAAGCAGCGTTTTTGTGCAAAAATCACGCATCTGGCAGTTGAATATCACCGGGAGCGGAGCATTTTCCGCCTCCATCACACTCACCCCCCTAGCGAGAACCCCTGGAAAATATCAGATGTGAGGCGTTCTGTAAACAGCAAACCTACTGCTACACCAAGAATTATGAAATACGTGGCGCCTGCATGTTTCAACGTGGCCTCTCTATGNCGTGAAGCAGCGTTTTTGTGCAAAAACACGCATCTGGCAGTTGAATATCACCGGGAGCGGAGCATTTTCCGCCTCCATCACACTCACCCCCCTAGCGAGAACCCCTGGAAAATATCAGATGTGAGGCGTTCTGTAAACAGCAAACCTACTGCTACACCAAGAATTATGATATACGTGGCGCCTGCATGTTTCAACGTGGCCTCTCTATGGTACAAATTATCCCGTCCAGCACACGTGCTCACCGTCGGACGAGAGAAGATGTATGCGCATTCCAAGAACCTCGCCTTGACCTCGTCGAAAACCACGTCTGTGGCATTGATGGCGTCAAGCAATCGAATGGGGCACAGTGGCACTCAGCGCCGTCACCCATCCATCGCAACGCTAGAAATGACGAGGCGCCTACAACGTAGCCCAACGGGCGGTTGGCAAACTCAAAATACAAAAGATCGGGGCCAGATTGGACTGGAATACCAAACACGAAGTCAGCCAGGAGCAAACAACAAATTCTGGCCCGGATCCCCTTATCGAATGTCCCTGAAAAGCGGAAGGATGTAATGTGCACACGTCAACCGCAACGATAAACGTGCAAGCCGACCGGCAAACGAAGCCAATATAGCAGCATCCGGTGCGCCTGCATGCAACATGATATTCTGCACTGTTGATCATGGGTGGCAGCCTACCCGGTACTGCCGAAGAGTACGATATGCGGAACGAAACGAGAGCACCAAATTCACGTGGTTCCTCGGGGCAGACGACACAAAAGGAGGGCGGGGGATTGACAGTTTTCTTTACCTCGCTCAAGTCGGATGTCTACCATACGCAAGAGCTTGATGGCCGCTGCCCCTTGCCCCCTAATCTGGAGACTGCATTGCCGGCATCCAGCGCTTTCCAGCAGAAGTTGGTCTCCTGTGCGGGTCGCCTGGGAGATGAAAAAAGTATCCCGGACATCGATGATGGTGCGTTATGCTATAATTCAGCAACGGCACCCGTGCACCCACACACGCAATCGCAAGTTGGTCTACCTTGCAAGATGGTACGGTCGTAGATCTCGAAGTTGAGGGCTTCCAACGGAAACTTGAGAACGGGCAACGTTCCTGAATGGCTCCTTCGGTACACCTATCCATCCATACAGTCAAGAGAACCTGCCGCACAAACCATAGCAGCACCCAAAACCACGCACTACACATATTCTGTGCGACAGCTGAAAGGTCCGAATGTGAAAATTAGAGAGGCAGGCATCGCACGGCCGTTGCGGCCGAAAGCCAAAAGCACCCAACGATGCACGAAAATGAAAACTTCGTGAGGGTTTGCTAGGCACCCATGCATTTCCAGAAAGGAATAGCCCAATAGCTCACCTCGCTGTCCAAAAGCATTGGGTCGCCATGCTGAGGACACTTTAGCAAGCCTCTCCAGCGCAGCCCTGGAAACTCCAACAGCACAAACCTCACGGAAGAGATGACGTACGAAAGCGCTGCCCAAGGAGCCGGTTGGCTTTTATTGCCATATATCTGAGCGGTGAGCTCATTGTTGGTGGACGAGTACTCTAAGACCACGGCGAAATCCCCGCTGCCATCTCGCGCGTCGCCAAAGCTGCCGTGGACAAGCACCCCAAAGCGCCAAAACGTCTGCACATCACCAATGCTGCAGCACCGAGTCAATACTTTTTCCATCGCACCCGCCGGCACACCGAGAAAAATCTTCCAGCTAGCGCTGAATACAGGGATGTTCTGCGAGCAGAACGTGTCGATCACTTTGCCCACACGCGCGGGGCGGCCGGGCTTTAACCGAAGTAGAACTACCAACCCCCCGGCGTCATCGTTTTCGAGTGGAAACGTCAAACCCAGGGACACCAGGGTAGGGAGCACGTACTCGGACAAGCCAGCAGGCCATATGACATGCGCCAACCTGGGTTCGAGGATACCCTCGCTCTTGAGCCTGCGCCACGAAGCGATGTCCACCTGGTCGTGGAGGGTGATACACGAGTCGCCATTGTCCCCAAGATTCACAAAGCCCTCGTAGGTCTCTGTATCCTTGTGATTGAGCAAGGGCTTGAGAATCCTGGACAGCCAAACGACGTCCAGAAAGACGAACGTCTCGTGGCGAATGAGGGAACCATCGAACTCCCTGCACGCACGACGTTGTCGGCGCACACACGTAGGCCAGCCGTCAGTCAAAACAAATCGACTTAGCTGTTGACGAGGAAACGGGCTGCTTAACTTCTGGTCTCGAGAAACAAACTAGGTCAAGTACCGAATGAAAAGGGGGGGGGGATGCCCAAGAAATGGCGGGGGAGGAATCCTCCGTGTGAATCCCAAGCAGAGAAAAAACCTCTGGTGTAAACTGGCGTTGAGGATAGATGAGCGAAGGAACCAAAACCATACGAGTCGGGGCCAGGAGGAATTTTTAAACGATGCGACATGCTGAGAGAACGGCTGTTAACATCTGCGTCTTTCTCGAAAAGGGGGCACAACAATCTTCGAGAGTCCAACTTCCAATATTCTCGAAGCGATGGAGGGCATCGATCAACGGTAAATGACAACACTGCTGATGATGGCAAACATTATATCTCCACTGCTTGAGAGCTTGTTATACGTTATACCTGATTGAGAGTGCTCCTTCCAAGGCGTGTTCGGCGTTAGTGACCATAATCTCTCTTTTCTCGAGCTCAAGAACTGCCTCCAGCCATTTTGCGCCGAGCTCCTCCACCGTGATCCCTCGATACATTTCTACCTTTGATGGTGCTGTTCTCGCCGCCTCTCGTTCGTCAGGGCCGGCCAACTTTCGCACTATCTCCTCCACGGGGTCCCTGTGCAAGTGGCATGACGAAGTTACAATGGATACAAGTAATTTTTCTTCGCCCGTTTCGTCACAACTGCACAGTAAGAAAATACGCAAAAGGGCTGTGTCCAGATTTAGCTATGCCGAAGGCGATTTGAGCATACTCGAGATATTGACACCATTGTGGCTAAGGCAGACTCGCTGCATGCGGCATGCTGTTCTCTCAGAGATAAAAAAGGAGCAGGGGGTGAAAGCGCTTCTTCGTGCTCCGCCCCGCAAGAGTTGTTGGAGTACATAATACTGTATGGAGTATAGCATACACTTGAGGCCCGCCATATAGCAAGGAACACTGACCCAACCCCTTAAGAACTAGGTCTCGCTTTGGGGACATTTTTTGTCCCGTGCCCCCCCCCAGCTTGGTGTTTGCGTGGCAGAGATTAGAATTCACGCGTTTCAATTGCCGGTGGTGCACCCTTCCGTGCCGGGTCTCCGTGTCGGGCGGTACAGGGAAAGGTGGCGTGCCCACGGTGCCGAGGAGGGCGTGGGTTGGCACACTGCCCACGCAGAGTTCTTCCGCACCACTTGAGCAAATTTTTCACGCCTCGTCTACAGCCCCAGCGAAATCAAGAGGTTTTAGACAAGTTGAACGTCGCAAAACTTTTTCGGGGCCATTTAACTTGATTGAAGTACAGCGTTTTCAAACCGCAACTGTCCAGCTCTGGCCAATATTAGGCCCCCGGTCAGATTCTGACGCCATTTCTTAATTGGGTTCTAGACCCATGTTTATGGTTTCAAAATGTTGGAAATAGATCTTCAAATGTTGTCAAACATTTGCGCGCGAATATCTGCCAGAGGAACATTTGAGTACCGCTTTTATGCGCAACAATATCTTGTCGTGTGGTTTTCTCGGAACGCATCACAAGCGCGGCGGGAATCGTGGTCTACTGCTACCGAACGATTTGTGACAGAC